TTATGAAACCCAAATTCAAACTGAATCCAGAGGATTGGGAGAAAAAAACAAATCTATGAATGGGTTCACTTTTAAAAAAGGAGAGGGAAAACAAAGATGGATAGAGATCCTTAAGGGTGGAATTACCAAGCAGGTGTCTTCCCAAAAGAGAATCCTACCACCAATACACACATCATACCTGGTAAGGCTGGGCAATTGGGGAAGAATACTATGAACAGCCTTCCATAGAGAGTTTAGTGTAGCTTGCCGAGACACTCTAGCATCCCAACCATTTTCTGCATAACCATGAATACTTGCCACCACCTTATGCCAAAGCCTCTCTCTAATGGCCATCTCCAAAACCATTTGCCCAATAAAGCTTCATTCTTCTTCCCTATATTGCCTAACTCTAAACCCCCTTGCTCCTTACTTCTAAAAACTAGATCCCATCTCACCAAGTGATATTTCCCTCCTTCATCAGTCTCCCACAAGAGTCCCTCATGATCTTCTCTACTTTCAGTACCTCCCTTTGTGGCATTTTGAATATTGAGAGGAAGAGCATTGGAGGGCTAGCTAAAGTAGATTTAATCAGAGTTATACAACCCCCTAGAGACACATAATTCCTCTTCCAAGCTAACAATTTCTTGGAGTATCTTTCAAGAATTGGACTCCAAAAGCTTCCTTCCCGTGGGTTGGCTCCTAAGGGCATACCTAGATATTTCAAAGGCCACCTAGCGGTAGGACAACCTAAAGCTTCTGCTACCCAGTCATCTCCTCCTTTACCAAGTTCAGTCCCACTATGCAACTCTTTTCAAAGTTGATCTTCAACTTAGAGACAAATTCAAAAAGTTTGATCACCTGCTTCAAATTACTTGCCTTTTGAGGATCAACACTTTCACAAAATATAACTGCATCATTAGCAAACTGCAAGTGTGTAACAACTGTGCACTCTCTCCCAACCCTCCAACCTTTAAACAGTCCCAAGCAATCGACTCTTACAATAATACTGAACACCTCAGCTACCAAGGTAAATAGGAAAGGAGAAAGGGGAACCCCTTGCCTCAAACCTCTGGTTTCTGGGAAAAAGTCTCTGACCACTCCATTAACAAGGACTGAAATAATGACATGTCTTCAAACATCCTTCAATCCATCCACACCATCTCTCCCCAAACCCAAAATTTTTCAAGTGTCCAAGAGGAAAGACCAGTCAACCATATCATAAGTTTTCTCCAAATTCAATTTACACACAAAACCTTTCTTTTCCCTTTTCTTTAAAATCCTCTACACATTCATTAGCTATCAAAACTTAATCTATGATTTGTCTACCTTGAATGAATGCGCCTTGAGAGTGGCTTATCAAACCAAGGACTTGCTTTAATCTTAAAAACAACACTTTGGCCAAGATTTTATAGATGCTTGTTACTAGGATGATTGGTCTGAAATCTCTCGGCTAATTGGATCCTCCCTTCTTAGGAATCAAGGCTAGGAAAGTTAAATTTATTCTCGGAATAATAAAGTGCTCCCTAGCCAACTCCTCAAAGACGGTCAAAAGGTCCGCTTTAATTATCTCCCAACAATCCTAACACTGCCCAACCCCCTAACATTCTAGCTGATTATCTTCATCTCAACCTGTATCAAGCCATCCTTGATCCTCGTTCCCTCTACTTTTGACCTTTCCCCCTTCCCCCCCTTGCACTGAATTCTAGAACCTCTGCTACATCAGATTTCAATCTTTCTACCTCAGTCAACATTTTTCATCCTTTGAGTCTCCTTTTCTCCTTTCTTCTTGGAATAAGTTTTAACACTTAGAGAGAAGTTATCCACATGAAAGTCGAATTATTTATCAAAAGGACGGAAAGTGACTATGATAAAAGAACATATTGTCAAATCTTCCCTCTTACTACCACATTTTTTTTTATCAATAACACTTTCATTAAATCATCAATAGAAGATTTACAAGAGGAAAACAAACACACTTATCTTCCAAGAGCAACAAAGAACCTCAAGAAAAGGAAAAAAAAAAAAAGAAAAAAAAACACTAAAGTTACAGCTTAGCCCAAAATAGTGAATCCCTTTTTGCCCCTTGTTTAGCTAAACCGTCAGCTAGGGAATTAGCCAATCTTTTAACCCAACATGTCTTAACTTCCATCTCCCGCACCAGCCACTTGAATTTCCTCCTCTCATTGTTGTACTTCCATAAGCCATTGTGATCTTTAATCAGCCACCCTATCACCACCTCTGAATCCCCTTCAATTATGAGTTTCCTGATGTTCAACTCCTTAGCTTTCCGGACTCCTTCCATAACTAGAAAGATCTCAGCTCTAAGGGAGTCACCCACTCCAATTGGGCCTGAGAAAATAGCAAAAATTACCCCATTTTCATCCCTAAAAACACCCCCAATCCCCGATTGTCCCAGATTTCCCCTACTACACCCATCAAAGTTTAATTTCAAGAATCCACCAGGTGGAGGGGTCCAAGCCACACTCATTACTGACTTGGTCTGTGTGCAATTTGCAATTTCACTCCACTTCCTCAACATGCCATCCACAGTATAATCTGTGAATATCTTCAAAGATTTCAGCCACTGTACCGCCCTAATATGTATGATAGCCCTCAGGCTGCTCCTCTCTCAGCTTCTGAGAATATCCTGGAGTTTCTTTCTTCCCAAAGTGTCCAACATACTACAGCCCTTAGTCCTCTCCACATAGTCCTTTCCCTTTTTATCCGCCACCTGAAAAAAGAAGGGGAAAAAAGGCCCTGCAAGTCTAATGGAGGATTCCAGCTACATCCAAATAGAGAGAAAGCCCAATCCCAAATTGACCTCGCAAAATGGCAAGACACCAGTAGGTGAAAACTAGTCCCCCCATCCGCTTTACAAAGAACACACCACTGAGGTGACAAGCAAGTATTGGGTCTCTTATTTTGGAGTAGATCACCAGTGTTGATTCTTACCAGATAGACTTCCCAACAAAAACTGCCAATCCTAGGAGGTATTGCTCTACACCAAACCTCATCAACAAGGAAAGGGGGGAAAGTAGGACTGGTGGACTAACTTAAGACTTTGAAGAAAGAAGCACAAGAAAAGATGCCATTGGGGGTAGGTGTCCAAATTCTAGAATCCGCCCTAGTGGGGTCTAAGACAACGTTATCAAGAAATGCAATAAGGCTCGAAATATTATCGAAGTCTAAGTCCCTCAAATCCCTTCTTAGACCCAAGTTCCACCCAATCCCAGAAGTGGAAGAGAACGGGGTGGTGAAAGACGAGATTGGCTCATTTTCAAATCAGAAAGAGCATACAAAGAAGGAAATTGATCCTTTAGAGGGGCACTCCCCACCCAGGTTTATTCCCAAAGTTTTATGAAGTTATCGGAATTCAAATCATACTTGAGATATTAGGGGAGAAAACTGGTAGCAGGTCATGAATGGCTTTCCAAGGATAATTGCTTGTGGTCCTAGCTCTGATTCAAGTGTCCCATCCATTGTGCTCCAACCCATGTATACTTGCCACTATTCTAGCCCGTAGCTTCTCCGTCTCCATAGGGAACCTCCACAACCACTTTCCCAACAAAGTCATATTCCTTCTCCTAATACTCCCAAGCCCCAAACCACCACAAGTCTTACACCTACACACTATCTCCCAGCTAACTCTATGATCCCTCTTCTCCTCCCCCAACTCCCACAGGAAATCTCTCATTAGCTTCTCCAATCAGTTAGCAACCTTCACTGGGATTTTAAACACCGACAAAAAAAAAGATGGGTAAATTAGCAAGCGTGGCCTTAATTAGTGTAATTCTCCCACCAAGAGAGAGGAAGTTCTTTCTTCTCCTCTCCCGGCTCCCACAGGAAATCTCTCATTAGATTCCCCAATCTGTTAGCAACCTTCATTGGGATTTTAAACACTGACAGGAAAAAAATGGGTAAGTTAGCAAGCGTGGCCTTAATTAGTGTAATTCTCCCTCTTACTACTACATGAAAGTTGAATTATTTATCAAAAGGTCGGAAAGTGACTATGATTAAAGAACATATTGTCAAATCTTCCCTCTTACTACCTTCCACCATTCCCAATTCCTTCAAAGATAGCTACAAACCAGAGACGCTTTTTATGGAAGGATTGCAGGGTTAAAGACAAGTTTCATTCGATGGATTGGATAGAATACAATTCACAAAATCAGGCAGTGGTTTGGGATTTTGCAAGTTGAAGAAGATGAATGTGGTTCTCCTTCGTAAATGACATTGGCAATAAAACAGAAAAACAAAGGAGTAGCAAGAGGCAGCCTATTGGAGCCAAATTTGGGATTATAAATGGTGGATAGGACCCAGTACAAAGGATTAGATCATTTGGATGCTCAGTACGGAAGAAATAGAGAAAGCCTATGATTCTATTATAATTGATGTGACCACTGAGATGGGAGGTTGATCCTGGATGCTTGGTAGGCCAACAGGCCCCTCATGGACAATTTCCCAACCATCTATGCAATTGCGGAAGGGGAGTAGCAGAACTACAAATGGAAGGGGGCAAAAGCTTTTGGACTCCAAAGTTCCACAGAAACCTGTTTGATTGGGAAATTCCAGAAGTTGTTAAGACTTTATTTGAAATGCAGATGTTTGCACTCAAAGGCAGGTATTATGGACCAGTATCTATAGAGGTGGAGTGAGATATCATGACCTGGGACCAATTAATACATTGGTAAAAGCCGGTTTTGTTACAAACAAATCTTTATTTTGAAAACAGCATCCTTTTTGGCTAATCAGATAAGCTGATCAGTTTTTTTTTAATCTTGCTTTCGGTATACTTTGTTAAAATGATTTCTTGGGGATCTTTTTGTGAATTCTGATGTATAGTTCCTGGCTGTACATGGTTGATCTGTCCACACAAAAAATCTGTGTTTACAGCATACATTTTTTTTGATAAATAAAAATTAAACCCAAATTCTGTAAAAACTAGCATACTCATAAATCATAATATAAACCAATCTAGCCATTTTTCCTTTCCTACAAGAATATGAAAATTCACTTCAAAATATTCTACAGACAAGATATGATTTCATAATTTCAATTCAAATATCAATTCAGCTCAGAACCTGTCTATTGTGCAGAACTAAAATGCGAAAAATAGTCCTGCACAGAACTTACGAAGGATTACAAAAGCTGCCAAAACCAATTGAAAATAAGTTAAATCTAAATAAACATACAGCTAWGTGTTTCTTGAGCAAAAGCATCCTGATACAATTCAACTATTTTGTTCATCTGCATCTTTATTCTTCTTCTTCTTCTCCTTCTTCTTTTTCTTCTCACTTCTATCTGCATCCTCATCRCTGCCACCAGTGCTTGTAAGCAATCCAGAGGCATCACCATCCTCAGCCTTTTTGCTTTTCTTCTTCTTTTTCTTCTTCTCAGACTTTTCAACTTCAGAGGATTCGGATTCGTCCTTTACCTTATCCTTCTTTTTCTTTTTCTCTGCCTTCTCTGTATCAGAGGATCCTCCAATTTCACCATTTTCTTTGTTTTTCTTCTTCTTTTTCTTCTTGTCCTTCTCAGTTTCAACTACTTCCTCTATCTCCTCCTTCACCTTCTCAACACCTTCTTCAACTTTTACCTTTTTGGCAGGAACAGGAACAGGGCTATTCTTGTCTTCATCTAACTTACGTTTACGGCCTTCCCCATCTTCCCCCTCCTTATGTTTCTTCTTCTTTTTCTTTTCTTCCTCAACTATAMCKGTTTCACCCTTCTCAGGAACTGGTGCAGCGGCAAGACCTGCAACCATAGAATCACCTCCTGTAGGAAGCACCACATTTCTTAGCCACTCTGCTGGTGTCTTCTCATTTGGCTTTCCATGTTTATCCAACTTRCCATCTGCAATCAGCTTCTTCTTCATTGAAGCCCTCGGCCCCAATCCCCATTTTCTTGGATAAGTATCTCGATCCATCACTACCCTCTTAATCCTTGCCACCACACCGTGATCACAAGTCGCCATTACTGCTGTTGTCATCTCCGCAATACCCAATGCAATTGCCTCCCCCTTGGTGGTCATCAGCACAACCTCCTCACCAACTTCAATATCATTTTCAAACCTCAGTAACCCTGGTATCATCAGCTTGGCACCGTAACAGATAGCATTAACCGCCGAATCCTTCACAACTAACCTCTTGTAACTCGTCAACAGTACTTCAAGGGGCATGATAACCCGCCTCAGATAACTCTCATCTCTGTAATTATCATAAAGCCACTGAGCATCCATCACATCGTGCATGGTAACCATGTTATCCTTCTCACCCGAAATACCGGACCGAACACGCCGGAGCTCCTGCATATGCCCTCCGACGCCCAAAATCAGACCCAAATGAACACAAAGCGTCCTTACATAGGTACCTGCCTCGCAAGAAATCCAAAAAACAACCAAATGTTTATCTGGGTCATACTCGAGAAGCTTACTTTCGTARATCGTTCGAATCCGAAGCTGGCGCTTGACAGCAGAAATCAGCGGCGGCCGCTGAAACAGAGCTCCAGTAAGCGTCTCAAGTGCTCGAGCCACCTTGCCGACATCGGGCACCGCAGAATGAAGCCGGGCAACGCAGACGTACTCTTTTCCGGCACCCTGTTGAGATTTTACGAGTCGGGTCGCCCTGTTGATGCAAACGATGAGGTTGCCAGTGACTTTCGGATCAAGGGTTCCGCTATGGCCGGTCTTATCAACTCGGAGAATACGTTTAATCCAGGCCACAACTTCGTGAGAAGATGGGTTAGCAGGTTTGTCGAGATTGATGATACCGTACTGTATGTACTGATCAAGGGGGCGCTTGAGAGGAGAGTAACCGGAGGGAAGAGGAGTGTAGTGACCGGTGCGGACGTTAAGGCGGTCGTAATTCTTGAGGAGGATTGGCCACTGGGAGGTGTCTAAGGAAGGAGTGAAGCTCTGAGGTTTGATCAGGTAATCGTCGTTCTGGGTCGGCGCAGAATCGATGGGTACCAGAGATTTGGTTCCTCCATTTTCTTCTTGACCCTCTTTGTTGATGCCGCTGCTTTTCTTCTTCTTCTTCTTTTCTGAGCGCGAGAACTCAATCTCGGACATGTCTGACAGCCTGAGTGAGTCGTCTGTATGTGTGTGCGCGCGCTCGAGACAGAGAGTGAGAGGGAGAGAATGAAAGGTGAGGGTACTGGGGGGTTTCTAGGGTTTTAGAGTGAGGGTTTTGTGAGATTTTACTATTTGTGTCTGTTTGGGCCGGGCTATGGGGATCGAGTGATAACACCTTCTGGCTTGCAACTGGGCCGGGTTAGTGTTGAGATTGGGATTAGGGTATCAGAAACCGTACAATTTATTTATTGGGTAACTTTTATTTTTCATAAATTGACTTAGGAGGTATTTGTAGCATAAATGAGAAATTGGGTGGTAAGTAAATATGAAACACACCACATCCCAATAGGGTAGTTGTTTTACAATGTGGATAAAAATGTGTGGATCAAGGTGTAGTGCATTTCTTGTGTTTGATTCCATGTTTCTCAACTACAACATTTAAGATAACATATGTCATTAATCATTAAAAAATGATATTTATTTTTTAGTAATATACATAATATAATAATAATAGTAAATTGCTAAGAATTTTAATAATTAATATTAATAATAATTAATAATATTAAATAACACATAATAACATTAATATTAATAATAAATGAATAGTAAAATTAATGATATTTTATAATATTAACAACAATATTAATAACATTTGATAATAAGTAATAATATAAATAATAATTAATATTAATAAAAGTAATAATCAAAACTTAACAATTATATAATAATATTAACATTAATTTAATATTATTTAATGAGTTCTCTCTCTCTCTCTCTTTTTATTTCTCACCATTCACAACAAAGCAAAGTGGAGAGGGATCTCTGCTCTGCTCTGAGTTTGGAAGAACAAAGAAAGAAGAAGAAGAAGAAGAAGAAGAAGAAGGGAGAGAGAGAGAGAGAGAGGTGGGAGAGATTTGCCACCCGATGTTCATCGTTCGGAAGAGGAAAAAAGTGAACAGTATATTACCCTTTTTTTATATTTTTTTAAAAGTTAACATTTTTCAAAAATTATATTCAATTAATTATTTTTATTGATATTAGGGGCCAAAAGTTGCCCGGCAATAACCCCTTTAATAATTTATTATTAAAAAACAAATTAAATCAGATCAGATTCAATATTTGACATCTTGGTGGATTTGAATTTGAATTAATATTTATGAGATCCGATCAGATCTTCTAGTTGGATATGATCTGTTTACATCCCTACAGCGAGTCCAAGAGCATATAATTTCTCTTTTAAATGCGTGCGGTGCTTAGTAAGCAATTGGGTTTTGAATTTTTGATGGATGACAATATGGTATCATAATTAGACAAAGCAGGTTGTTGCACTTAGACTGAAATGATGAATTCGCCACCCACCATCACTGCCTTGGGATGGATTGATAGTAATGGAGTTCTCTACCTTCACCTTCACCACTCCCATCTCTAAGTTAAAAATAACATGTCTTGTAATTCCTTTATCTCCTCTATAAACAAATGTGTGTTTCTATTCATTAAGGTGAATATTCAATAAAAAACTCATAGGGTAGAAGGATCAGTCCATTGGCTAGGGTATGCTTTGAAATTTTGAAACAAAATGAAGTATAAAAAAGTCACAAGGTATATTTAAGTCTTTTCTAAAAAATAGTAAGGAGGTATGTTTAAGTCTTTATTTTGATAGAAAATTTTATATTCTATCAAAGTTTGGATAAGAAATTTAATTGTGTGTTTTTATCTACACTGTATGTATGTATCACACCACAATACACGATGCACTGTGGACAAAAATGGGTGGACCAAATTACACCACACCCTATAGGTGTTTTACAAGGTGTATAGTTCAATCCACATTTTGTTTTTTATTCCATACATTTCACATACAACTAGTGAGATGATCTGTCCAATTGATAAAAAATAAAACTATTTTATGTTTCCAAGCAATATAAATAATTAAAAAATAAATCATGAATAATACAAAATAGTATTAATTATCTATAATATAAATAATTATTAAAAATAGTGAAAGAATTTGTAAAACCTTCATTTTAATAAAAGATTAATATGTCTTATTTTTAAAAATAAAAGATTTATTGAGTAATTAGTTAAAAATTATTAGATGTGAAGAGTAGTAGTACTAGGAATGGTAGTAATTACGATGCTCTTAGTGGCGGTATTTTCCAACGGTACTCCTAAGGTAAATAATAGTAGGTAGGGTAAATTGTGAAGTATGTGATCAACCCACTTATTGACCTTAAATATGCAAATCTCCTGGAGAGCGAACTTGGAATTTTCTCTCCTGCACGCACATCCACCATTGTTCCTATGAAGTGTTAGTTGTTACATAGCAGAGTACCCCGCTAAGAAAAAGAAAAGGAAGAAATATTACACTAATATGGTAAGCCTCTAGGGGGCCTAAACTTGGTTTTATTGTTTTTTGTGTGTGTTTGATATCCGTTAATCACCCTATTTAGTGCCTCCCCTAGGCCTTGAGAATTGAGCCCACCCAACTTGGAAATTTCTCCTACACATTCACTATGCTTCCTATAGTGTCTCACATATCCTTTAAACACTTTAGAAGGCTCTTACAGGTGTCACCCTATTTAATGTTACCCCCCTTTCCCTTCTCCCTTCTCTTAGGGGCAGAGTTAGGGGATCTTGGCCTTGGACACATCTTTTTTTTCGCTACTTACTTAGAGGGTCTCCTGCGGGCCTAAACTTGGATCTTTTTTTTTTCTTTTTTACATATTTACTAATCACCTTTAGGGGAGGCAATTAGATGGTTGGGTTGGATTGGATTTGGGTTGAGCTTCAACCCAACCCGTTTGACCCACTATGTTTTTGTTACGTATCTACTAGCCTATTTAGGAAAATTTAAATAGGTTGGCTTCAACCCAAAACCACCATAACCCAATCCAATCCGTGCAACTCATTAATCCTAGAAAAATAGAATATAACATAAATTACATAAAAATATAACAAAATATATCAAAAAACATAGAAAACAAACAAAGCAAAAATTATAAGAAAATATAACAACAATTATAAATAAACATAGCAAACAAAAAAATAACAAAAATTATAAGAAAGAAGAAAATATTACAAAAATATAAATAAAGATACAAAATGAAAAAAAAAATGCAGAACCCTAAAATGATGAAATTGAAGAAAAGCAGGAGTAAGAAATGAATCTATCGTTCGTGAGTGACATTGACAAAGACAAAGAGGACTTGAGGGTTTTTAGCAACTGAAAAGAGAGAATACCCTTGCCAAATAAGCCACAATTGATTGATTCGACACTAGACCTATTTCATGGATTGGGTAGCACGACAGGTTGGCCCGACCTAGCCTGTTCTTGATTGGGCTTGGACAGAATTTCAGGCCCATAAGCTTGAGCTTGGGCTTACAATAATAAGTCGGGATTGATAACATTATATATACATGCATTAGTTTATTAAATTACAATATAGGTAAAAGATTTTATGTATGAACCAGGCTTGGACATTTTCTATTAATAAAGAGGCAAAGTCCAGTCCAAACCCAGCGTGACATAGCCCATTAATAGATTTATTTGACACTAATTGATGAAGATTCTTCCACAGGAAGTCAAGTGGAAAGAAGAGGAAGAGTGAAAAAAGTGTAAGTCTTCAGGGTAAATATGCACTTTTGCCTGTGTTTGGCAACATTACATTTATAGATGTAAAAGTACATCTATAAAAAAGAAGTAAAAAAAAAACGCATATGTTTTATTGGAATTCATGTTTGCATCCACTACAGTTAAAAATCTGTTTGGTAAGAAG